CCCTGCTGAAAGCATTTAGAAAAGCAGCAGGGTACTTTCTAAACACATGGTACCTGGGGTGAGAGAGAAGAATGGGCAGAGAACTGATGCAAGCCATGCACTCAGAAACAGAATTAATCCCCCTTTTCATTTGTTCCCACACAGGCCTTGAAACAATCCCCCAAAATGAGAAATAGAGACTATGAGGGAGGAAGGAAATCTTTTCAGAGCAGCAAGTGCCAAAAGAAAGAGGAGAGGGTATCAAGAGAGTGTAAAAGAATTTGTGGGGAGAGATGGAGAAAGAAAAGAGAAAGGAGAAAATGGTAGAAAAGAAAGCAAAAGCATGCAGGAGAGGAGGGTAAGGCAGACAAGGCAGATTTCAGGGGCTGTTTTGTTCTTCAAAAGCTGTCAACACATTTACAATGTGCTTTCCATCCCCCTCCTGCCTTACTGGGCTGTGCACTCAGAGGAGCAGGAGAGCAATCACACAGGAACTGCTGAAGATTCACTTGGACACAGAACAGAGGTGCCCTGAGAGAAAGGAAACTGCTTAGTGATCCGTGCACAACAAACCATGATGGGGATGGTGCAGGGCCTGAGACTGGAGAGAGGGCTGGCAGAAACCTGCAGAGAGCAGCCTCTTCCTGCAGAGATCACACTGGCAGCACTGACACTGGAGCACAGCAAGCCAGGCTGCACAGGGATACAGCTGCACATCAAATGTATGTTCACAGCAGAAGCTTATCCCTGCATTCTTGAAAGGAAGAGCCCAAAGGATTTGGGCAGAGAGTAAAATCTTTCAAAGTATCTATTGCAATTTGCAGCCTAAACCCAGTGCCTGGAGCTCAGGAGCTCAGGCACATTACAGTGAGTTAAATATCCCCTGAGTGAGGCTGTGCTGGAACAGCCCATCCTGTGTCACGTTTCTGGCAGGTACCACAGCCTGCCTGATGCATGTTCACTCATTCAGCTGCAGAATGGGATCACGCCTCAGCCCACAGATTTCTCAACACTGTCAAGGTTAAAATGGTATTTAGAGCCTGTGTAGGTACCTACAGCCCCCCCCCCTTTTTTTTTTTTTTTTTTTTTTAAGATCGACTGTTTTGGTTTCTACATTTGTGCAAGAGTGAGCCTGGAGATTAAAGCCTTTATTAAAAAAAAAATCTTACCCTGTGTTATGCAGACTTTTTACTCCTACGAGACAGGAAGCTGAGAGGCAGAGAGGCATCCTCACAAGGTACACACACACCTTGTAGGATGGTATTTGTGTGCTTCAACACCTCCTTTGCCAACTATAATTACTTGGACAGGTCTAACAGCTACATTCAGTTCTCTCAGGAATCCTGTGCCCAAACCCACATCACCAAATGCTAACGACATAAAAGGCATCCTTGGTCAAAAGGTTTGGTGGTATCCAGCCTTCTTCAGAACATAATTGTTGCTTCCATTTTAAAAAGCAGAGCTGTAATGAGGGAAACCCATTGGTACAATATAAATCATCTTTCCTGGAAGAAAATACTTGAAGACTTTGTTCTTTCAAGATATTCATCATCCAGAGCAAGCTTTTTACCAGTCTCTGTTGTTTTTCATCCAGACTAGATGCATCCTCTGACTAAAGAGCACATAAAGAGCTCCCTCACACACTCTCTCAGGAGCCATGGAGCTACAAATCAGCCCAGTGTGTATTATTAATGACAAGTTATCAGAAAATCTAGGACAACAGCCAGGCTGGAGTTTCTCTGTGCTGTGATTCTATGGAGAAAATGAACCCTTTGCCAGGTCAGACCCCACAGTTTCCCTGCTCCTGTCTCCACTGTGCGCAGATTTGTGATAAGCCATTTTGTCACAGCAGCCAGGAGGTGATTACCCTGCCCCAGAGGCCTCACAACTGAGCTTTGCCTAAAAGACAAAGGTAACCAAGGGAGGAGACACTGGGTAGAGGCACAAAAATCTCAAAGATTGCATCAAAAAAGGCAAAGTGGATTTAATTTTGGTGGCAGTTAAATGGCATTAGAAGAGTTCAGGAGCACCCATGTTGGCAGTTGCTAGAGCTGCAGTACAAGCCTCACAGATTCCATTTTCTGAGTGGTTACAGCTGTACCACCTTCTAAATCCTTGGGTCCTGATTTATTCATGGCATTAGGAATGCAAAATGCAAGCAGAGGGAAGTAGGCCAACAAAAGAATAGAAAGCAGGGATACAGAGGAACCAGTTTCTTCATTCCAGCTGAAAACAGGTTGAAATTATTAACTCTTTCAGAGCAAGCTCTCTCTGAAAGGGCAGTAGACTCTGATGCATAAAGGTGCACAAATGAGTCTCCCACCACAAAATTAAAATGATGAACAGGAACACAAAGCAAACATGGCTTCAGAAGAAGATGTCAGATTAACTCTAGCCCAAGGCATCTGGATTTTCAGAGGCATAATGCTGCCTGTGTCTGACAGGGAGGGGTTAATGGCTTTGGTTGTGTGACCAAATGTTCAGCTGGTGCAACTCAACACAGATCCATTAGAAATTAGTGGAGCTGTGGCTGCTTACCCTAGACAGGGTTCTGGCCCACTACTTGGAAATCCTATTTAATATCCACTCAGAGATTTTTCCAAAGGGAGAGGCCTCACTTTTTGAAATCAGATTAAAAGCTACCAGCAATGCTACAGGATGCAGTTAAACTGAAATGGCCACTGCCATGGCCTGTTTATGATATTACAAAACCCCTAAATCAAAAGCCTGCAGAAGCCTTGTGATAACACCCCAGCGCAGCTGTTTCTGCTACAATTTCATAGTGTCCACCTACCTTAGAATGGGCTGAAACAGGCATGAGAGGTAAATCACTCATTTGTCACTTACCAGGAAATGGATGGGTCTTGACTGTGTCCATTTTAGTCCTCAGAGCAGCTGTGGTCAGCCAAGTCTTTGAGCACATACTTTTAACAGAAAATGGTCTGCAAAATTTGCTGTGATGATTCAAATGCAAAGAGCAAGCAGGGGGAAAAAGATAAGAAAATAGAAAAGCTACAGTAGCACATTTCTCCATAAAAGGGCCATTCTTTCACTCAAGTGCAATGCTACTCAGGATAGAGGGAAAAAAAAGAAAAGAAAAATGTCCAAATGTCAAAAAAGACAAGAGTTACCACAGCATAAAGAGGCTAAAAGTCATCTCTGGTGCCCAATAATACCAGGCACATTTTGCTGCATAGGATGGATTTTAAACAGGCATCTTGTCCATCCAACAAAACAAACAAACCAATAAAAAAACCCCTGACATTAAAATGATCTGTCCTGTTGCTGTAGTTCTGCACTCCTAAGTGCCCAGCCTGTGTACTTGAATGTCAAAACTGTGCACAGTTTGCTTAAATACTTTCACAACCCAGGGTACAACAAAGACCTGTGATGCTGCAAGTCTTCCATAACATGATTCTGTGTTTCCTCCACCAAACACCAACCCCGAGGGAAAACTGATCTCAGCACCAGTAACTGTAAAACATTCAGTATATCCTCAAGGATTCTCTATAAGCCCCTTCAAATACATTTACACACATCACACACACTCTTAAGAACCCTGGCATCTTCCACAAGTGAAATGAAGGCTCTGGCAGCTAACAGGAATGCACCTTCCACAAACTCCAAATTCCAAACAGGAATCCTTGTCTTCCTGGCTATTGCTTCTTTGAGATGTACACAGCCTTTCCAGCATAAGTGGAAATAACATTTCCAAAAGCTTTTTGAAGGTAGCTTCACAGAAAAATAATACTAGTTATATGTTAGGAACACATCTTGAAACATATCCACTTGGAGGAATTTTTAATAGGTGGAGTTTCTCCTGTTGAAAAAATATCATCAGGGTTTTGAAGATCTGTTTCTCCTGACAAAAATTAGCAAGCAGCACTTACACTTCTTGGGATAAGACAGATGAAAGAGAAGGGCAATACTTTAGACATTAACCAGATGTACTTGAGCTGAGAACTCTGGTACTCAACCAGGCTGATTTTGAGGGGATGAAGAAAGCAAACATCTTAAGTGGCTCCAGAGTTGCTCTCAAGACTGATTCCTTTACTGAATCAAAGCACAGATTCACAATGCAAAATTCACCATCATCTAACCCAACTCTCAAGTGGTTACAACCTTGTTTCACAGCAGAAAAATAAAGTTCATTCAGATTTTGGAAACCTCAGTTCAGCTTCTACTCAGATTTAAAATGAAATGACAGGAGAAGATACATTTTGTAAGAGTTTTTTCAAAATGACACATTAGAAATATTTTACAGAATATATATTATACATATGTACTCAAATAATATACAACACCTACCAAGCCAAAAACACTAAAGGGAAAGTTACATTTGCACTTATCAAGACAGAAAATGGTGAGCTGGTGGCAACACTGTGGAAGTGCTCACACCAGTAAATCAACTGAACTCCAGTTCAGTGTACTTTCCAGCTGTATTAGAACATCATTAGAACCAGAGTTAGCAAAAAAACTGTTCCTTAAGCCTCAAAATGAAAATTAATTTCAGGAAGGTCAGTTTGGTCAGCCTGTTAAAAGTCATGCAGAGTACAACAGGGGATTGGGAAGCTCACATTGCTCCAATCCAAGACATACACAGCATCCCTGAAAGGCTGATGGAGTTGTTTCTCATTACCTGCTGCTGAGGAAGACAAAGCAGGTCAGGGGTCAACATGACTTATAAATGAAGCACCACTGCTCACTGCAGTTTTGAGATGGAAAATGTTTGCTTCTCAATCAGAACAGATAATCCAACAGAGACACACTAGGGTGAAAAAGGTGGATGTCACAGAGCTTCAGACCAGAGAAGTTTAGCAGGGACAAGAGGGGGTTCAGTGTTAGTGAACCATGGCAGCCTCAACATCTGTGACTTCACTTTCATAAGAGAGATGTCAGTACAAAAGTGCAGGTAGGAGTCAATGCTCTGTTTCTCTCCTCTGAGAAAGGAAGAATTAGTGACACAGTCCTTTAGAGTCTGCAAGTCTGCTCCAGATGACAGAAGTGCAGTGAGCCCCAGGTCACACATCCACATTCCCTGCTTTGCTGCGGGCCTGGGAAACCCGACTGATGCTGCTCTCAATGAACACCTTCAGCCCCTTCAGCCCCTGGGCGTAGAGATATTCCAGATACCAGTCCCACTTCTTCCCCTGCAAACCAGAAAGAAGAGTCAGATGTGCAGAACAAAGCTTTACCTTTCTTAAGCCAATTTGGAAAGGTCTGCAAACTCTGCCTTCCTGTGGGACAAAATCCACATGTTGGGTGACATCTGTAAACACCCACAGGTACAGGGTCACCTGCTGGTCCTAAATGCCCACAATTACATTCTTAGACTGAATCATGATCTCTAATACTGCAAGTTTTTATAAATCTCACTTCTAGAAAAAGAAAAGTCTATTGGATCAACAGGGAATAAGTCAGGAACTAAAAATGAACATGGCTGTTAAAGCCTTCTCCCACCACTAGTGGGGATTCCTCCAGCTCAGGTTTGAAGTATTCTGTGGCATAGGAAAGGAAACCAACTGCCACTGTATTTGCTCAGTGAAGATTCCTGTTCAAAGCTGTAACAAAGCTACTCATCTGTCTCAGAAATAAAATATGAAGCAGAATTTGAATTATCAATTAACTTTAGGTTCATCAAAAATAACTTTTTCTGGAGCCTGCAGAGAGCAATAAACAGCCCTGTCCTGGCACTGCACTGAGTCATGAAGGAAATACATAAAATCTCAAATCACTAGCCACAGATACTTCACTTCTTAGGTGTTGATTGTCCTCTTGTTTGGCCCTGTTAAGAGACTGAATCACAGCCTACAGCTGGAATTTTTCCCCTTCCAAAATTTTTCTAGCACACTTGTGAGTTTGAATATTCTAACTTCATCCTCTTCAACACAGCTGCTGAAATTTACCTGCTTTATTTACTGAAACAAGAAATCTTACCTTAATTAATTTGAAGTTGAAGGTGGTATCTTCAGGACAAATCTTAAGGGAATAAAAAAATATCAAGTCAGATAAAAACTATGTCCAAGGTTGATAGGTCTCTGCTAAATCAGGTCTAAATAGGTCTCCTAAATCAGGAAGTGCAGACATGCAAAGAAATTCAGAGATTTTCAATCCTGCTTCAGAGGGGTCTTCCAGCATCATACCCTGTGCATAAGTGGCAAAGAAACATCTGGACCCTCTTGTCCTGTGCTGCAGCATTACAGGACAGCAACAGGGAATATTCACAGGTATCTTTACAATTGTCTCTCTACAGTGTAAAAGTCTCCCTTTCTAAACGTCAGAAATTCACAGCAATGAGCAAGGGGAGAGAAGTGACACTGAGATCAGTGTTTGTTCCCCCAGTGCTGCAGAGCAGTGCCCTCTGGTGCCCAGCACTGCTCAGGAAAATGTGTCCCTGCAGCTCAACATTATTTCCTCCTGCCTCAAAACACATTTGTCACAGCTGTTAAGCAAAATTTCTTCTAGTTCTACAGTAGGAAGAGAATGCAAGAATTCCCAACCAGAAGGTTTTGGGGGTTTTTAAGGGATTTTGAGGTTGGGTGGTTTTTGGTTTTGTGTTATGGTTGTTGGTTTGTAGTTTGGGTTTTTTCGAATGTGCAAAACTTATAAAGAAAAATTAGGAAGCTGTGCCAGGGAAAGTTTAGGTTGCATATCAGGAAAATGTTCTTCCCACTGAGGGTGATTGGGCACTGGAACAGGCTCTCCAGGGAAGTGGTGACAGCACCAAGCCAGGCAGAATGCAAGAAGTGTCTGTAAAACACTCCCAGGCACGGGTGGGGTTCTTAGGCTGCCCTCTGCAGAAGCAGGAGTTGGACTTGATGATTTTTTGTGTGTCCCTTCCACTGCAGGATATTCCATGATTCTAGGAAGCCTCAAAACAAGAATTATGTGGACAAAAGACATGAGATATATACAATCTCTTTCCTTGGTCCAACAAAACCAAAATAGCTTCCTTGAGCAAAGACAAAAGCTGAATTTAATCAGCAGTAAGACACAAACTAGCTTGGTTCAGGACACTGAGTACATAACAAAGGCAAACAAGTGTTCCTAACCAGAATTCTTTGCTTCAACTACTCAGGTGCCCCTTGCTGCATTCTAGGAGTCACACCTACACTTGCCTTGAGCCTGCCAGCATTTCTCACAACAAACTGGCATCTCTGTGCAGCCCCTGGACAGCCTACAAAACCTGGCTTCTTGGAGCAGCACACACATCTTGGGACAATAACAGCTCTGGCAAACTGCTCTCTCCACTCCTCAGCAGCTGCACTGAGCACAGGAGGGCACCCACAGCTCAAGGGAACTCCTGGCAGAACTCACCAGACAATGCAAGACAGCTCCATGTTATCTCACCTCTGTGCTTGAAGCAGCTGCTTGTATTTCTGTTTTAGTAAGCAAAAAAGCTACCACAAGAGCCAGAAAGCACTGCTAACAAATTCTAGCATGAACAGCTGTATACAATTTAACCATGCATTTCTTGACTTTCTAGAGTTTAAATATTTAGGTCACACTGCCTATTTTGTGGGGCAGAATGCACCTTTGGTAAGCTTTTACTGAAGTGTCATTTATTTCATTAATTAGCTATTTTAGTTCTATCATGAGTACAAATTCACATCCAAAACTGCTAGAATCATACATTCAACTGCTTTCATACCACACAAAGAAAGGCTCTTCAAATTGTGCCAATAATCTAACAAACACAGAATGCCACAGCAGCTTTTGAAAGCTCAGTTGTCTCTACCACTCAGCCAGGACACAGAGACCCTTCTCTACAGAAACAGTCAAGACAGAACATGTGGTGCCATGAAAGATCCAAATCTTGGCCTACACCATTACCTGCTGCAGGAATTTAATAGAGTAGCCCATCATGGCTGGATGATAGACAATGTTAAAGCTGGTTTTTACGTCCTTCACTGCAGTTTTACTCAGCAGTTTATCATCCATACGAAGACCTTGAGGATGAATATCCTTCTGGAATGCACTGGATGTCCACAGACAGCCCACCATAGCTATTATGTACTGGTTGTACTCTTGGTATGTCTGGTTACTGAACTTGAACTGCAGGATTTTCTGAGGGGGGAAAAAGAAAAATCAATAAATAACATCCTCAAAGCAGCTGTGTGCTCCCTCCAGTCCTTAAAAGATGGCCATTAGCACACCTCCCCTCCACTCAACCCAATTCCTTGCTGAAGTCTGTTCTAGCACATGACAGATGTGTCCACAATACCTTTTTACTCAGCTCATTTTCTTTTGCAGCCACTAAGTTGGCTCGATACCTGAAAAAAAAAAAAAAGCCAAAATAAAGACCAAGTTAGGGGCCAATAAATTTTTACTACATGCCTGGGTTGAAAAAAGCTGGAGGAATGTATCAAGAAAACTTATTTCCACCATGAGAAAGATCATCAAACTTTATTGGTGAAAGAGAAAGACATGAAAAAGGATTCAAAGGGACTTTATCACTTGGCAGAGTAGGGACATATCTAATAATATCAGTCTCTTAAATGATTCACACATGACCAGTTTGCCTGGGACAGTCACCTTCATAAATGCAACACACAAGAATGGACATCCAGCCTTTAAATCAGCAGAGAAATGCAGTGTGTTTTTAAGAAGGGAGACTTTCATTCACTAAGCAAAGAAACAGAAGGCACTGGAAGTAATGCAACTTGACAGTTGTTCTATATAATAAGCACAAGCTCTTCTTATTTCCTAGAGACCTTCCTGTCATGTTAATTACCCTGCAGATTCCTTAGAGAAAAAGCCACATGGAGAGCCCTGCACCAGCTGTCAGCTATTGGCCACTCTTCTCCTCAGATGCAGCCACTGGAACTAACAAGGCCAAGAAGCGCAGCCTTGGTGGTGGATCCTGCAGAGCAACAAACAGTGCTGCCTTTGGCCTTGCCAGCAGCATGAGGCAGTCCCAAATTCCTGGAGTTTGGAAGTGGAAGAAGTGCTTCCTACTCAGCACATGGGCACATGGCAGAACTTGTAAGGAAAAACTCAAGTGTAGTAGCCAAAGAAGAGGAGTGAGAAGTTGTATAGTTACTACCATTAATCCCAGCTAGCTGACTTTAGTTCCCTCAAAACAATAGGGGAACTTCTTCACATATCAAAGATATGGAAATAATACCAGGAGAGAGGTCAGAGTCCTGCTATCTTGGATAACAGACTTGAAAAAAAAAAAAGGAACTACAGCTGTAAGATCCTTTATCATGAAAGCTGGACACAAGTGGAATTTTTACCTTTACCTTGCACAGCAAGAAGTAGATCCCAGGTTTTTACAACAAAGTCATTTCATTTCCAAAAGACTGAAAGAAGACAAGGAGTCCCTGCCCACCCCTGTTGTAGTACCTGTACATAATGTAGCAGAGCTGATTCAAGTTGACAGAATCCATGCTGAGCAGTGCTGGGTAGAAAACCCCAGCAGGAGGCATTATCAGCAAAGGCAGGTTGTACTTCAGGTACATGTCACACACCTGCAGGAATGAAACACATCCAGGCTGATTATTACTGCCAAAGTAATGATAATTACAAACTGCCAAGGGGGTTAGAGCAACAGAGAGCATGACACTGAATTCCAGCCAGATCATCCAGAAGGGAAGGCCAGGGTGTCTTACACAAGTGTTGTTACCCATCAGTTTTGCGCATTTTTAGTGGACAAATTCAGTTACAAATAGATCCCAGAACTATCATTGTTTTTTCAGCTATTCCCAACCTGAACTGTAGGAGCTGTTGCTGTTGTTACAGCATGGCTGGAGTTCACAATAAGCACAACTACAGTGAGGACATGAGGAAGCTGGAGAATACTTAAGGCTATTTGATGCTGTTCAGTTTGCCTACAGCACAAACTAGAAAAAATCCCACATTTTTAAGGAAACATTTAATGAAAAAGAACCAAGATAAGTTGTGTGAAATTGAATTGATCACTGTTCTTTTCTTTAAGTCACCATTAAAAAAGCAGGTTATAGCCTACTGTTACTTGTCCTTCCTCAGTTCACCTCTGAATTTAGAGCAACCACTTTCTAGCAGCATATTTACTTCTGCTTGTGGATACAACAACAGCAGTTTTCACCTGCAGATCTACAAAGTATGTGGAATATTCTGGCATTGAATCACAAAGTTCTGTAAACTAGAATGAGGAAGATGTTTTTATGCTCTAGCTTAAAAATGCAAACAACCTTAGGAGTACTTGAAAAGAAAGACAAAATGACTGGGATACCCACAGTGCCATAGAAATCCAGAATGAAGTAGAGCAAGAAGGTGGAATTGTTTTCCAAACGCAGTGCAACAGTAGAGATCCATCCCACAAAGTGAACCAGCTCAGCCACCATGTTCACCAGTCCAGACAGGGTGGTGTTCCTGCAGCAAAGACAGGGCACAACATTACAGAAACCTCTTTGCAAACAGCAGCATGGAAAATGGTGAAACAAAATTGACATTTATGCTTTTGCCCCATCAAATACTCGACAACAGACACTTGTTCTTCAATACAGGCAGCAAGACATTGTTATCAGCACCATATGAACACCCAGCTGTCAGTGCTATGAGGATTTTGAATTCTGGACACTTCAATTTCCAGTGTCAGCAGAAATACTTCTAAAGAAAGACAAAGAACAGGCCTGACAAGGTAGCTTACAACACAGCAGAATCATAACTGTATTATTAACCTTCTGCTTGGTCTTTAGGCTGGGTATTAGGGCTAGACTATAGATCTAAAAACTCCAGTGAGCAATGCACAGAACATGGCTCACATTCTTTAAAGACAAACTTACACAGAAGAAATCTCCAAATCCATTTGAATCACACTGTGAATTAACCAGTTCTGCAGCAGCTCCTTCAGGCTCTCAAGAACACTGCACTGCAATAGGCAAAAAGAAATCAGGTTGATGTCAATTTATGCAAGAGAATAATTCCAAACAAAGAATGCCTTGAGAAATGGCATATCCAAGGAAAGGTACCACGAGTTTCTCAGGAGCTGCATGGCCACTAGAACTGAATGTATGTGTTGTATATAGCTTTTCCTGGAGAACATGAACTTCAAGTACTGAAAAAACTGCAATAAAACTGTTTAAACAAGTAGTTAAAACTGCAATAAAACAGATCAACTATTGTGTTGTGTGCTATCAGTTCTTTTTATCTCCAGTGCCCCAGCTTAATTCCAGTCAAAAAAGGAAGCTATCTTAAAGCACCTATTTCTTAAAGAAGTTAAACTGTAAGTATATGTTTTATCCTGTTTGGGCACAGACTTCTTAAAAAGATGTTTCCTATAGAGTCCCTCAACATCTAACAGAAGTACAGATAGCAGCATCAACTAGAAGTAAACAGCCATTGTGTTCACTTGAATTACCTTAAAGTAAATAGATGATGTGAAAAAGAGCTGTGCCAGGGGATCAAAGAGATATGGCTTAATGTCTGAAAAAAATGAGAAAGCAGTATGATATCAGTGCACAAATTCTATGCCCTGAGATATCCCCAGTGTCCAAGCTCACCCAAAGGATCTGAGGCACACACCAGAGAAACTGCTGAGGGGGATCCAGCTCACAAGCCCCAGGACTTCTGAGCGGCAGCAGACGCCATCCCAGAGGGGAAGGGTCTTATACAGGAACTCTTCACAGGCAGAAAATCCCTCCTGGAAAGCAGAAGAGAAGCATTCAAAAAGTCATCTGACTGCAGCTTGCCATGCTCACATCACTCTGAAGAAAGCAAGAGGCTCACAGCTCCTTCCTGCCATACTTGCCAGGACATTCAAATTATCATTCATAGATTATTTTTCCTGCAGAAAACAAGGCCATTTCCAGAATACTGACTTGCCATAGGTAAAGGTATTTTTATCACTTGAGTCACTGTCTCAGAAATACTACAGGAAACAGGTAAGTGCCAAAAGCTCTTTAAGGGAAGACTTTGTGAAACCCTTGGCTTCCACAAAACACACTTACCTGCAAGAAACATTCTGCCTTGTAGGCAGTTTCCAGGAAGCTCCTGAATTCTTCTTCATATGGGTTATCAACCACACACCAGGTGCACTCTGAACAGGAGAGAATACTGTACTTAAACACGAGCACAACAACAACAAGCACAATGAGAAAGCAAATTCAGCTCTCCTCCAGTAGCTGCTTTAACACTCTATGGTTATCACTGTAAATCTGAATAGCACAGAACCATTACTGCAAAGTGAAAAGCCTCAGACATCCCTTAGCTCCCTACCTCACAAGATAATACTGAAGTTCTTACCTTCCTGGAGCCTCTGGCCCATCCAATAGTAGAGCCTCAGGTAAATAGATTCATCTTTCACACAATTCATGTAGTGAAGCAATAAGGGGTTTGTTAGCACAGAACCCATCTGGGAAGGAAACTGCAAGAAAAAAAAGAAAGAATTATTCAGTATTTACATCAATAAACTGCCAGAGACCCTCATGTCCAATCTTTTTATCACCACAAGACCATTCACAGGACTCATCCAATCTTCTCATTTAGGACTAGAAGCTCTGTTAGAATTAGGTAGCTCACACACTACCCAGATATAAATAGGGCATAGAGGACCATCCTTTGATCTACCAAAACATTGACCAATGTTTCCTGAAACTCACCTCTAGACAGTGGATATTCTGTAGGAGCTGAGGGAAGGTCTGCAGCTGCTCCACTGGAAAAGACTCATTTGGACTGCACAAATAAAGACAGCTCTTTTCTCTGTCCTCATCTAAATGTTTTGTGCTTGCACTGCTTGCAGGTATAACCAACTGGGCATTCCATTTCTGTAGAAAGGAAACACAAATGACTCAGTTCCCAATGCAATTGGCTGTACTCATGAACAATGTTCCCAGAAAGACCCAGTTTTACAAAAAAGGCACCCAGGTTTTCATTATAATTGATTGTTGCATCTCTCTATAGTTACTCCCCACTTTCCAGTGCTGAAATAAAGGCAGACTCCCATTATTTGCCAATATTCATAATGAAAAGCACTACTTGGCACCTTCTAGGGTGCCCATAACATACCCTCTTTCGTGACTGAGGTTGAGATGTGCCCAAAAACACTGCCTGGGACAGGGGAGAGGTTCCTTGGTTTCTCTGCCTTACTGCAGCAATTGCTGCTTTCCATGGGCCCTCTGAGTTCTTGAAGTAAGTCTGGAAACAGAAATCAGACACCCATGCAAGAAGTTAAGCTGAGACAAAGCAATAGAAAGATCACTTTCTATTCTGATAAACCACAGTCATGTAGAGACACTCAACTCTACTTGACAGATTTTCACAGCACAGAACTCTCAGCATTCCTCAGTTTCATCACCTTTGGGCTACAATTCAACTGTTGGGCTTTAATTTCCTTTGGAAACAACATCCCCCATTTCAGAAGGGATCTCCAACATTTGTATCTTAAAATCTTAATTCAATCATCAACTCATAGATTAAATCTCAAGTATACCTTAAAATTAAACATGACCAAAGTATGCTCAGTTAATAGAAAAATTTTCTGAATTCAGCATAAGTGACACCCACATCACAGAACAATGCCATGAGTAACCAAATACTCAAATTAATCTAGATATTACTACAGAAAATTGGAAAAGCTAACACCTTTTCTGCACATTTTTTTTGACATTTCAATGCCAAGCAGTCTTTAAATTCTAATCAAATGCCAAATCATCACAAAAGCATTCAGATTGGCTTGGACCTAGTTAATCAAGCTTTTATTATACAACACTGTGTTCATAAAGACAGTTGAAGAAATATTTGGGATCCAGTTGCTAGTAATTTACTACACTTTAAAAAATGCAAATGTGCATGCTAAAAAATGTAAATTCTCCAACAGATGACTGTGCAGCACAATGCAAAGTAAAAATTTAGAGAATATAAATACACATGCAGAAATAAATTTTATTGAAACTCAATTTGTCTGCATATAAATTAAATGTCTGTTCCAAAAAAACCAACAAAAATCTCAAACATTTAAGTCTATGACACTGAAATAAAATTTTGTTGCACAATTTAGGTCTACCCAGATGCTGTTTTCTCTTCTATATCTGGTTCTGCTACATGTTTCTGCTTGGTCAAAGGGCTGAGCACACACACAGGCTCTCTAAAAGGGGAATTATTTTTTTGCTGTTCCTTGCAGCTCTGACAAATCAGTTTCCTACTTTTTTTACCTGCTTTTTTCTCTCTCCTATGACACAGACTTTCCAAGTACAGAGCTCTTGTTCACTGTCATCTGTTCATTGTCATTTGTAGTTGAGAATGGCAGCAATTAGAACAATACCTTGACAAATTAGACAGTTTGTTTCCTTCAGAACATAATATTGTGTGAAGTAATAATAATGAAACCCAGCAGGAACACCAAAAGAAGGATTAAAGTAATCCTCATAAAATAAAGGTAGATGTCATTCCTTACCAAATCATCTCATTATGATGAAAAGGAAACACAAGGCAAAGAATCCTCATCTAAACCTGATTTTACTCAGTGAAAAGAGAAAATGGAATTAATCTTCACGAGTAAATCTGCTATAGCTTAAATAGAAAGCTCCATACAAATACTGCAGTAAATCCTGGTTTTGAACTGACTCAATCTAATTCCATACCTTCATTTTCCCAGGAAGGGTTATGGTCACTTGTTCTGGGCAGAAAAGTTTGTAAAGTGACAGCAGAGCTTGCAGATGAGACTGCATTCCCTGTAAAACAGCAGAACAAGAGGGAGAATATATGAGGTATGTTTTAATACAGAAACTGAATGCTGTATTTTAGAAGCAAAAAAATACAGCATTCAGTGATCAGTAAAAGTTAAATTCCAGAGTTACACATGATTAAGTGACCTTAGATAAACAACAGAAACTGACAGACACAACAGAAACTGGGTCAATGAAATAACAACAGCAAGAGGACTGAAGACCTTCCTGTAGTCATAACTGATAGAAAGGAATTTAACAAAATGATAAGAAATAGTCTTCTGCTGTCTAAAGAACATGTTATTATAGCAATGTTTTTTTCTTTTAAAAAAAGGAGCAAGTCCTCTACAATCTTACATTTTTCAGACATTTTTGGCACCACTTGAAAAAGGAAGATGAATAGAAAATTAAAGACTGGAATAGATAAATGAAGGTGCCTCTTGGTCACATGGAACTCTGCATATATCACTGCATGTGCTCACAAAACACACATGAAAATTAGGGATGCACATGCAAGAGAGAAACTTTGATACCACAAAGAACTAAAACCTACAATTCCAAGTCCAATCATTCCTTTCCACTGTGTAAGGACATTAGTTTCACAAAGTGCATTATTAACCACAGTTCAAACTCTACAAGATCTGAAATAAACTCACCATTTTTGCTTGGAGGTCAAGCAGGATCCTAATCCGAAAAGGCCTGACTGGAAATACAATTAGGAATATAAAGGATTTTAAAAATACCATAACAGACATCTAAGCAAAAGTTATATAAGTAACATTTTTATAAAGCAAGCAGAACTAATAATTCTTATTTCTAGGGTGATAGAGAGGTTTCCAATTCAGCAAGTGTTACACCAAGTTTTCCCTGAGCTACCCCTCACTCTCCCTTGCATTAAAAGCACAATATTGGCTAATCATTGTATCAGCTGCATTGGAAGAAAAGGCAGCACCAGCAAACAGAATCAGAAATAAAATGGTATTTCAGCTCACACAGATGAGACTCACCATTTTCCCTCCTGGTCAGCAGGTAGAGCACGTGGCAGACATAGGGGCACTGCAAAAAGGGCATCATGAGCTCTCCTGCTGCTGCAGACACACAGCCAGGACACAAAAACCAGCACAAAGACAGCCCCACACAGCAACTCCATTTAAAACTTCATCTGCACTGTGAGCAGTCCTGACTGTAACCAAGCTGTTTAATTAACTCAGATCATTTCTTTTGGAACATGGTCTAGAAATTACAAGAGTCAGCAGTGGAAATGCAATTACATTTTCAAAAGGAAAGGCACCTTTGAGCCAAAATACTTTTTTAGGGTTTTTAACTGTAGTTGAGGCTGTAAAGAGTCTTAAATTAGTTTCAAACCAACTCTGATGTTCTTTCCAACTGACCCATCATGTCTAAAAAAGCTATTTCAAACATTAAGAACTTAAATCCAGTTTTATGGAAAGATGATAAATGAAATTAATCTAAAACCATTAAAAACATTACAAGAAATATAACTCAGAACTTTGGGAACTTGTTTTAACCATCAAATATCCTAAAGTGAAAGAATATTAGCAATTTCATACCTAACATGACTGCCAAGATTATTTTATTATGCACTGAATCCAAACACTTTGAAATTCCTGGATTTTTCAGTTGCCATATGGCAGAAATTGCCTGAATGCTTGTTCTCTTTTAAGCTACATTTCAAATTAATTAAGTAGAACAGCAATTAGCTTCTCACCTTAAATAAACACTGCTCTAAATTTTTTCCTTTTTTTTTTCTTTTTGCCCAAGGTGTACAAGTCAGATTCTGCCCAGGAGCAGGAGACTTTACCTGCAGATGTCTGACAATCCCAGAGACCACTGTTACTCTTGGGAATTTCTACAGAATAAATGCTCACAGTCTTGTGATACAGCATAGCAATTCTTGGAAACATGTTAAATACACAGACCCCAGCAATCTTACAGTGCTTGCCTGTTTATGGACCTAAATCACCCAGCAATCTTATAATGCAAAGAGAAAATAAAAAAAGAAATCCAACCATCAGAAAATGGTCTCTAATCAACCTACTCCAGACTAATTCTAGCATTAATATGTATACTACTAATGAAAATTTAGGTTTATTTTATCATTTCCATATGTTCTTCAGTTCTCCTTACCAACTTCTCATCTTGCAGGAAGGAGAAGAAGAAACCATAGAGGGCATTAAGCTGTTCCTTGTGATCAATGAAGTCAAACATTGTGATCAGCCACTTCAAAAAAAGCAGCTGCAGAGAAGAAAAAAAACCACATTACATTAAGTGATGGGCAAAAGCAAGGCAGGGGAATCAGAATCCAGCTCCAGAGACATCATCAGTAAGGATAAACACCATTTTTAAGGATAACCAGCTACAAACAGTTCAGGGGTATTCAGATGAAGAAAGTCTGCCAAGGGATTCACCAGGTAATCAACTGACCCCGCGTCACTGCTGGTGGCAGCTGGGTTTTGGTTTCTAGAACCACGGGACCCTATTTGTGTATCAGTGGTGATTGGGAGAGAGGGAATCCAATAAACAGGGCACACATGGGCTCAGCCTGGAGAAAAGGAGGTTCATGGGGGACCTTCTCATTATTTACAACCCCTTGAAAAGAGGCTGAAGTGAGGCAGGGGCCAGTCTCTTCTCCCAAGCACAAAAATGATAGGTCAAGAAGAAACAAGCAACAAGTTCTGCCAAGGAGGTTGAGATTGGATAATAGATGAAATTTCTTCACAAAAGGGTTGTCAAGCACTGGAACTCACTGCCAGGGAAGTGGCTGAATCACCATCCCTGGAGGGATTTAAAAGATGTGCAGCTGTGGCTCTTGGGACATGGTTGGCTTGGCAGCAGTAGGTTAATGGTTGGATTCTGGGTCTTAATCTTTGCCCATCTAAATGATTCTACCACATAAACCTTTGAGCAGACCATGTGAACACAAAAAAGACTCTTTTCCTAATGTAAACTCATGCTGCCACAACCAAGGTACTCATAACCTAAGGGATACCTCACTGAAATTAAAGTATTTCACAGAAATCTTGGTGGAGACACCATTCCTGAGGAGTTCAAAGATACAAGACAAGCAGGAACCAAATCTCCACAGACAGTTTTAATGTGTTCTTTGGCTCCCATTGCCACTCTAGCAATGGCATCTCTGCCAGTCTTGGTAAACAACGGCATCTTGGGTAAGACCTTGTAAATTAAAACCTCAGGATTTTTGATTCCTCAAAATAACCTGTTCTTATGGTTCCTGTGCAGAAACAATACCTACCATAAACACTTACTAAGTTACCTGGATGTTGCCTGAGCATTTGCCAACACAGAGCCAAGACACAGCTGTAACCACAGAATCTTCTGGTATCACTGAGGCAGGAATCAGGCTCTTCAACAAACGAGTATTCACTGTATCAGCTGGAAAAAAAAACAAACAAAAAACCAACAATTTTAAGCAAGATGGTGCTCATGTACCAGGTTCTTTGTTATTCTTTTGCAGCTTAAGTCAAAATTCCCTCTGGACTAAATTATTTAGAGCTTTCTTGCTCAAAGTAATGGTGTGTTTGAATTTAGCAAGGACTTACCTATACCTCAAAATGATGACAAATAATTCATTCCAGCTTAACCAAAAAAAAATGGAAACTACCAAATCATGCCAGAAAAAATAATTTTATGCTATAATACCATAAACACATTATCTCAGCAGGTTTGATTAGAGGGGAAAGGCACATTCACAGAACTACAGAAGGGATTTGATTAGAGGGGAGGGGCACATTCACAGAAGTATAGAAATGCTGTACCAAATCTGCCACTGAGCACCACCTTCAGCAGTATCTCAAACCCTTCAGGGGGCAGCCCTTTTTCCAGGGCAGTGCTTTCCACAGCATCCAAGTGTTCCTGCACAACACACGTCTTCTTCAGTGCAACAGAGTCTTGAGCTAGGAAAAACAAACAGGACAAGCACAGGAATAAGCAACGTCTGAACAGAAATTAAATAAAAGCTTCTCTGAAATGTCCCTGCACATACTCCTTTTTCTTGACATAGTAACAAAGCAGAAAAAAATTTTAAGACATTAAAGAAACATTACATAGCTCAGTGGTAAAGAGGGAAAAGAGAAGTAAAATTATTCTAAAATTATTGATATTATAATAAGAAATATGTAGAGAGACCTCTTAGAAGAGCATGTAGTGACAGGGCAAAGGAATGGCTTCAAACTGAAGGAGGTTTAGATGGGATATTGGGATAAAATTGTTTACTGTGAGGGTGGTGAGGCCCTGGCTGAGGCTGCCCAGAGAAGCTGTGGCTGCTCCATCCCTGAAAGTGTTCAAGGCCAGGCTGGATGGGGCCCTGAGAAACCTGATCTCCTGGGGGGTGTCCCTGCCCATGGCAGGGGGGTTTGGTCCTTCCACTCCAAGCCATTCTATACTATTCCTTTTTTTTTTAACATTGTAGTAACACAAAACTTCTAAGACATTAAAGAAATAATACATAGCTCAGGCATTAAAGAGGGAAAACAGAAATCATTTTTTTAATTAAGAATGCAGCTATCATCTTCTCAATCCTAGATAACCACCCCAAAAAAACTTCCTCACCTTTCTGAAAGTAGCTCAAAGCTTGCTCTAGAGACCCTTCCTGGCTCTCACATTTCTCATCATCAGCAGATTGATTATTCTGCAAACTTTTTTCAGAGTCAATTTTCCCTCCCTTTCGCCAGGCAGAGAGATCAGTTTGGCTTTTATTGGGAACGGGCAGAGGCTGCTTTGGGGTCTTGGAACTCCTCCTTCGCTGCATCTTTTCAGACTCCCAGCTGAGACTGGAGAATTTCACTCATTTGTCATGTGAGAGCCAATCCTTCCTTGGGTAAGAAAAGAGATCAGCTGAGGAATGTCAGAGAGCTGGGTCCCTGCAAGGAAAAGAAACATTTATTTTCCTGACAAGCAGATTTTAGAGGCATCCTGCATAACATGAGTAAATTCAAAAGAAATAGTTTAGAGCTCACTGCTCCCTAAAAGATCAGACAAGATCCTCAAAGATGTAAAGACAACAGTGTATCAAAACTCTCATCTTACATTAAAAAGGAAAAAATACCCAAGTAAAAATTAACACAAGCTCCTTTCAAGTTAAACATTATCTGATACAATCTTATATAACTTTTTGATTAAAAAAATCAACATAACCAGAAAGTTAACATAACACAAACAAGTTTTCTTCTAAGTGAATTTTGTATATTATTATTTTCCTTACTTTGGTTGCATGTGCCAATACAACCCAGTCAACAAGTCATGATTCTCTGCAAGGTTAGGTACAGATTGTAGAGGATCATAACAACACTTTTCTTCCTATTTCACAAAAATTAGATTCTTCTGCAGCCTTCCTACCAACCAGCTTGGATTGGAAAAACTAAGAAATCTGGGTAAACCTCCAAATGAGATACAAGAGCTACCAACAGTGCCAAATTGCACAGGTATAGGTGAAATACACCCATAAAAAGTGGCATTTTCTCCTCAATATGCTGGAGAGATCAACCATTTACCCACAAAACAGGAAATTTTGCTACAATTTCCTGAACTCGGTAGACTGTGTACCCCTGTCCCTGGATTGCTGGAATGTCTATTTCCAGAGACATTAAAACACAATGACTTTCAATTCATACTCCTCTCACTTCCTTACGAGGTTACAATCATCATTATTTCCGTCTAGGCGTGTTTGTCACTTTCCTGTGCAGCAAAGCTCCGTGACACGCTCTGGAGTACAGCACCAGCTTTCTCTCAGCTCCCTCACCACTTTCTTTACATGTGTTTTGTTCTCTTTTGTCCCGCAGCTCTACCAGAAAGGTTTGGTGAAGGAGAGAGCGGCTGGAAGGGCAGTTCTGGCTGACAGCGAGCCCCTCGGTGCCGACATGAGTGTGGCAGCAGCAACCCTCACCCTCCTCCTCCTCAGCAGCAACCCTCACCCTCCTCCTCCTCAGCAGCCCTCACCGTAACTCCCCCAGGGCCCAGGGCCACCCGGAGCATCCTGAGGGGACGGAGGGTGCGAGGCCAGCCCGGCCCGGCGGCCCCGGGGCGCTCGGAGCGGCGGCGGGGAAGTCACTGACCGCCCCCTCACACAGCCACCGACCCTCCCGCTGCCCTGGCCATTGACCGCCCCTCTCACAGCCACTTACTATTGACCCTCCCGCTGCCCTGGCCACTGACTACCCACTGACCCTCCCGCTGCCCCGGGAAGCGACCCCCGCCGCCACAGCCACTGACCCTCCCGCCTCTTTGGCCACTCACCACCCCACTGACGGCCCGTCTCTCGGGGCAGCACTGACCATTGCAGGGCAGTTGGCCGCCCTGCCGCCCTGGTCACCCTTCCCACAGCCACCTCCCGCCGGCTCCAACCGTCCCTGCATTCAAACCCCGCCGCTACCGCCCGCACATGCGCACTGACCGTCTGTGGTCCCGCCCATCGGCCCAACTGCGCATGCGCAGCGCCGTCATAGCTGGCGGTGGGAGGGAATGGCGGTGGCACTTCCGCCCTTCCTGTGCCGGGGGTCTCTGCGCATGCGCGGGGGCGAGAACTCCTCGTCAGGGAACGAGTCCCTCCCCTCAGGTGTATCCGCGTCCCTCGGGCTGGGAACGGCAGCCTAAGGCTACGTTTTAAAATAGAGAGGCGGGGAAAAAAAGGCACAAATAAAGCGAAGCAGTAACCCCGAGGCCGAGCGGAATGAAGTAGAAATAAAGAATTAAAGGGAAAAAAAAAAAAAAAGGAAGAGTAAAATAGCATCGAGGTCTTAGAGAAAGAGCGGATCTGTTCTTGTCACTTCCAGCGTGCACAGATGGCTGGAAGAGTCCAAAAATAGCTGTTTAATGCTGGGGGGCAGTGACAGAGGTCAGCCCGCTAAGATAAATACAGAATTCGTGTTACTGGGCTCCAAGATGGGTTATCTCGCTCTGTAACAAAGGACGTGCAGCCGCTGCTGCGGGTCAGTTGTTCATTTCCATGCAAATGTGAAAAAAGGGGTTTTTTAGTAGTCACTGAACAGTCTGAAGCTTTTACAGAGATAGGCTTTGTTCCATGGGATGCTTTATTATTATCATCTCTACAAGCTCCAGTGAGGAATGTTACAAAAGATAAACACAGCAATTGTTCCCAAAGGTTTCCTGGGCTGGCTGCCCAGGTGAAAGGGCTGCAGCAGTTCAGTCGTGTTTCCTGGGAATACACAGCATGGTGTGGCATGGAGTTGGTGGTATTTTTATTTGGTTTTGAATTAAAACACAATTAATAACCTGTCGGGGCATGGTAGTTAAAGCATCTTTTGGGAAGCAGAGGCAATTCTGTGTATATATTTTGGATGAACTTGAGATAGTCTGTGAAGATGAGAAGCAGGTGAAAAGAACCTGCTGGTTCCTTTGCTCAGGGTGCACATCTGATACAAGAGATTTAGTCCATCTGGAGCTCTGGGAGGTGGCTTTTTCAGCATATATATGTATATTTTGCTGCTAAAAGATGCAGCCATATATATACATATACACACATATAGGGCTGCATCTGTTTTAGCAGCAAAATTCAGGAGAAAACTATATGAACATCCATCATCAATTTTTATAGAGATGCAATCCTGACACTTTACTGGAGTTACCTTTTCTCACTGCTGCACTGAACTGTAGCAGAACTTTATTTGAGGCTGTTTCGGTAAAATACCCAAATGTCTCTTTTAATTATCTGTGGTTATTAATATAAAACCAAGTAGAATTTCTCTGACTTCCACTCTGCATCACGTTGTCTCTCAAATTGCCTGACATGATTCTGCCTATTTTAGGTCGAGTTTTTGACCAGAGGGAAATGTTTTCAGACACATCTCTCAAATAAGAAATTTGTTTCTGTAAAGACATTTTTCTCCAAATTTCAAAAAGTTTATTTTTGTGACTAATTAAAAAAAAAAAAAAAAGAAAGAAAGAAAAACTGAGAACAGACAAACATTAAGAAAACCAGACAAATTTCAGAGGTAACACATGCTCCTTATGACACTCTAAGATTTCAGATACAACACAGGGGTTCAGGCTCTGGTAACAGGACTTATCCCAGCTCACTGAGGCTGTATGTGGGATGAGCAGTGAGGTACTGCAATTGTTCAGACCCTCATCTATCAGAAATAAACAGCAATTCTATAAAGTCACAGTAGCTGTGGGGGGGAGGAAAAAAGGAACTTGCAGGGAACTGGGGAGCACAATGCTACTTGCCAACATCAGAGAGATACTTTGGAGTTCTTTGGGCAGTTCTCCTCCCCATCCCATCTTCTCTGCCAAGAAGGGTAAAGAGATGCCACTGCCTTGTGTGAAGCAGGCAAAAAAAACTACTGTTATCAGGCCATTGTCCCAGTTTTGGAGCCTCTGCACAGAAATCAGAGAAGATGTAAACAGAGCATCCCGTGTTTTCTCTGGATAAGCATTCCACAGAAAGGGCTGGGCACAGAGGCAGCAAAGCCCAAGGAACCCCTCTCTCCAGCACATTTTTTGGTAACAGGGTCCCTTTTACCCCTTAACCATGGAAAGGGAAGTGCAGATGTGTGTGTGGGGCAGCACAGGGACACTGCTCATGGCCTGCCCACCCTCTGCTCCAGGCAGCAGCAGCACCCAGGGCAGCTCTGCTGCTGCTCAGGGCCATCGGCCCACTGCAGCAGTGCCAGGGTGGCCTGAGTGCCTGCCCAGATGAGGGGTCTCAGGCTGGTTTTGCAGCTCCTGCTGCGGCCAGCACTGCTCCAGCCGGGTTGCTGACTGCCTCCAAGCTGTCCCTGTGGAAGCTAGCTTGTGTTTTTCTACATTACAGGGCAGCAGCAAAAGCAAGACTACAGTGTAGACATACCTTGTATCTCTCAGACCCCAAGCGCAACTTTATTTAGACAGACAAAAAAAAAAAAAAAAAAAAAGCAAGTAGGTAAATAAAAACCAAATTTTTCTGGGTGATTTTGGAGAGAGCTGCCTCGAGGGTCCGTGTTTCCTCACATGCACTCAGCTAGGATACCTTCACTTTGCCTTTCTCGGGAGCTGCTTCGTGGATGAGTGGCTGCTCATCACCGTTCACAGACAGCATCCTCTTGTCGGGCGGCAGCTCCTCGGGCTGCCGGGCGATCAGCAGGCGGCAGGTGAGCAGGATCCCAAACACCAGGGCGTGGGCATAGCGCTTCAGGGGGTCCCCCACCAGCTGGTGGAAGAAGAGCACGGCCAGCACCAGGAGCAGGAGCAGGAAGTTGGCCACGTCCTTGGGGCGACCGGGCACCAGTGTCATGACAATGCCGCACGCCACTTCCAGGGCGCCGATGCTCTTGCGGAGCAGGATGGAGCTGACTCCCATCTTCTTAAGCATGGGCAGGGCCCGCACGTAGCTTTTGTATGCTCGTTTCTGGAACCAAGCAGCCAAGGACATCGTGTGAGAAAGGGAAGGCAAAGGTGACTTCCATTGAAACAGATTGATGTGCAACACGATCTAAAAATTATTTCAATTGTCATAGACTACTCTGGCACAATATCCAATCTGTAAAGCTTCTGTTTGGGGGTATATTAAACCATCAATCTGCAATTCCACCTTTCTGAGCTGTTGTCTCTTCACTGGAAAACAGTTCTGCAACCTCTCATCCATCTTTGGAACTACAACCAGGCCAGGTGTACCTTACCCCAAAATCTGAGGTTCTGATTGCTGGAATTAGCAGTGCAGAACCATGTTATTAAAACAAACCTCTTTCTAAGAGTACCTTGTGCTTTAAAATTGACTAACACACCAAATCCCTCCAAAGCCAAAGCACAGCAAGTAAATACAAGTCTCTTTCTACTCCAAAGCAACTTACAATATTCCAAAGCAATTTACAGTAGATATGGGCAGTGCAGGCTTAGGGTGGGACTAAACATCAAAGCTGAGATTCACCAGTCCTATCCTGTCCTTACATACCTTTATGATCCTTTCTTTCCTCAGGTGAAAGCAAGCTGACATTTAACATTTTTGTTATGCTGGATTTAGAAGCAGTGTAAACTGCATGTCTCAGCCTGCTTACACAGCTGCCTTATTCTTTTGGGTAAAAAAACAACTTTTGTCCTTACACATGTCCAGGTTCTTGCCTTTGAACATGAGGTGCTGGGGGCCTCACTGTTTCGTTTGTTTTTGGTTTTTTTCTCTCTTTTTGTTTTGCAATCAAGTATTTCCTTTATAAATATATATTTTAATAAGGCTCCTATATTCAGTGTGATACACTGAAATTATTTCCACTTATACTTGAGTATAATATCCCTGAAGACATTCTTGCCATTGTGTTTTCAGTGTGAGGGAAATGGAAGCCAAATCTCAGTTACAGGATTGTTCAGCTCTCACAGGCACTGATCAGACTGTGGATTTACTTCCATACAATTTTGGAAACCTACATTACAGTCATACAGAACTTTCCCACGTCTCCATAGATTTTGATGCTTCCTTCTGAGAGGAACTGATACTTCACAGGTGGCTAAAAAATATCCAGCATTGTCATTTTTGCTACAAAATAACTGAAGATCTTGTGACACATTTACTCCAAGTGTTTGTATTGTAAGGATGTATTTTAAACCATCAGTGACTAAAACCTCAGAACAGAGTATTTTTAAACAGTTGTGAAAAATACAACATTTTTAAGAAATGTACTATAAGCTTGTCCTAGAGTACTCTGGTATTTTAGGTATTTTAATAGGCAAGCTAATGTGTTTTCTGCCAAATGAAAAACTACAAGTTTGGTGGTTTAGGTAGATAACAGAGGTTCTCTGTTTGCTGGGGGCAAAAAGCCATCCTTATGGATTAGCAAGGTCAGGTTTTCCCTGTCTGCATGACCTGACAGACCACCACAGCATGCAGCCCAGCAAATGCAGGAGAGCCTAATGAGCCATGAATATGTAACATGAATATGGACTATGAAGAATAATGGTGCTGTCTAATGTCTGCTTTATAAAACCAGAGATCATTCCTACCTGTAGGCCTGACTCTTGATAAAGCAGAAGGAGACACAGAAGTGAAATATTTTACAGAGCAAGCATTTTGCAATGCTCCTAAAGTCTCTGTGATTTTTTTTTTCCTGTAGCAGAAGCTTAAGAGCTTTGTTTTCTAGGGGTTTTACCTCATGTGTCTCTTGCCCATGAATTACTTCTTGAGGATTTTCCTCTGTGAGATCCCTGTGCAGGGCTGCAGACTAAGCACTGCAATTCAGACGTTATTTGAGAGCTAAGGAAAAGCAGCTGGGCAGGTGGAGCAAAGGGAGAGAACAGAATGTGCTGGAAACTTCCAGCACTATTTTTTTTAAGGGCACAAAAATTATAGTAATCTTTTCAACCACCACAATGAATAACTGGGAAAGGGGGTGGGGGGGAGCAGGAGAATAAATAAACACAGATGAGGAAGCAAAATGTGGCAGCCAGTCCCTCACCTGCCTGCAGCTCTCAGAGCTCTGCAGCAGGGCTGGCCCTGAGCAGAGAGGAGCATAAACCAGTTCACCAGGTGAGAAATGCACACAGTGACTTCTCTGTCCTCTCCTCACCCCTTTCCTCTTAGGCAAGAGGGGGAGAAGCTCATTTCCCAGGCCAAAGAGAATAATAAGAAGACTATTAATAATACCTCCCTCTGCCAGCTAAGAATCTCAAGCTTTTCACAATCATTAATTAATCCCTGCACAAGTCTGATGAGGTAGGGACAGCCAGTGTCATTATCCTTGCTTTAAAGCATGGAATTTTGAGGATGAACATCTGCCAGAGCAGGCATCTGCTTTTCCCACCCCCATCCAGCGGATAGGTTTCCCCTCGGGGATCAGCTGTCCCTGCTGCACGTCTGGCACTCCTGCAGGCCTTGTTTTTCCAGCCCCTTGTGTCCCCATCTCCGGCAGGCTGTGTGTGCTGTGCCACCCCATCCCTGCCTCCCCTCTCCATCCTTTTCCACCGGAGGTTTCTCCGTGGATGGGCTCAGCCGGAGCCAGGCGAGGGCTGCCAGGATACCCTGGGCACTGCGTTTTATTGGCCTCCCTCCATGTCGATCAAGCAATGAGTCAGATCAGCTTCTTCCCCCTCCTGGCCTCGCTCGGGGTCCCAGGGCAGTCACCCCCTGCGTCCCCCCTGCTCCTGCTGCAAGGCGGGAGAGCCCCACAGCCGCTCCCTGCGTGCTGCCCGACTTACCATCTCATTGTAGGCATCCCTGCTGAGCCGGGGCGTCAGCTTGATCGTCCCCATAAAGACGAAGAAGAGCCCCAGGGCCACCGAGAGGGCGACGATGGTGATGGTCCTGGGAGATGCCATGGAGCCGCAGGGATCCGCTCCTAGCGAGGCCTTGTGGCTCCGGCTGGCAGCCCGGGTGGGAGGGAGTCCGTCACCATTGAAGGCTGTAGGAATAAAGCTGCAGAGGCAGGAGGATGACAGCGGGAGGGGATTCAGACTCCTCCACTCGGCAACCCCTGGGTCCTAAAGCCCTGCAGCCAGCGCCAGGCAGCTCCAGCACCGGAGCGCAAGGGGAACTCATCCATCCCCTTGTTTCCTTGCGTGCTCCACAAATCGCCCACAGAAAGCCGAAACTGAGGCGATTCTGGGGATGTGGGATGGCAGCCAAAGGCAGAGCACAGTCATTCCGTAGTGGGAAAACGAGGACATGTTAGCAGAGGGCACAGGAGTAACGTGCTGTGGGAGGAGAAGTGGGCTGGGGTCTCTTGTACAGAGAGAACATTCAGTTTCAGATACTGAAACTACACAGCAAACAACATATTGCTTCATTTATTTGCATCAGGAAAGAAAAAGAAATGTCTTGTCCCCGTGGCTCTCCTGGAACCTGATGCTCAAAAGGGAAGATGAGGCCACTTGTGTCACCCTGATAAAACCTATCCTGTATGTTCACCTATCCAGAGGCTAGTGGAAAGGTTTTATGATCCTCTGGTACTTTCTGATTTAAAGTCATTGTCTCCTCTGCAATTAATGCAACAAATTTCCTTTTGACCAAAACTAGTAGAAATCTATTCAGATCTCACAGTGAGAAACTGTGAGATTATTATGTGAAATTATACGAATATACAAATATATATATATAACACAAATTATACTAAAAAATTCGTATAATTACACAAAACAGAACTGCTGGAATATTGCATCCTTTGGTATAAAATGAAAGCAAGAGGCTGCAACAATCTCATCATCACTCCCTTTATGGTGCAGTAATTCTTAAATCCTAAACACATGTATTTTGACCCCCATGGCTTGAGAACTGGTTGCTGTTATTATTCAAAGCTGAGGTCTGGAATTAAAAATCTGAAAAATACAGGCAACTCTCCCAGTTTCCTTGGGAGTTTATCAGCCTTGATTCAAAACATTCTGGGACTCACACAACACGAGGGAACTCTGCTCACTCAGACTCCCCTCCCCATTACAGCAGCTCCATCTCTGGAAGAGCTAGAGAAATATAACAACATTGTAGGCAGGACAGGACACATACAAAACAGAAGAAAAATTTTAATTAGCTATAGCAGAATATCCTGAAAAGGAAAAACATTGCAGCTGACATTTTCTCAGGGCACTTCATATTTAGGCATCAGGAATCATTAGTGGAGAAGGGGGAGGCAGATGTGAAAAGAGAGACACTGAAATCTGTTCTCTTTATTTTGTTTTATAGAAAATCTCATTGTCAAAGCAGGTGCCTCCTCTAGGCAGGGATCCCAACAAGGGAATCCCTAGGTTTTCATACTCTTCCAACCTGAATTTCCCACAACAGTTCAACCAGTGGAAAATTAGAGTTCTCTTTGTTCATTGGTTTGTGCAGAGTCTGTGGGTGAGAAGTCAGGGCTGGAATTCCCGTGCCCTTTGTTAGGCACAAGGTCAGCGCCCATTCACGGCTCCTAGCCTGGGGCTCCAGTGATTTCCCACTATCCAGGGCACAACTTGCAGCCTGAACACCGAGCTACAGATTCCTCACCGCAGGGAAGGGTCTTTTCCAGGCTGCTTTAACCAGCAGCCCAAGGTTTGCAGGGGAAGGAAGGATGATGAAATGCTACAGGGAACCTTTTCACCCCAGAAATGCAAGTAGTTTTTTACAGAACAGTATTGCTAGGCAACCCAAACTAAGAGAAAAACCAAAATTATTTATTTTTATACAACTTCACAGAAAATAAGTTAAAATCCTAACTACATTGGCTCTTCAGGACAGGAGGACGTAGCTTCCCAAGCTCTCAGAGCTCATTCCTGCCTCCCTGTCAGCGGGTGAACAGCAGCACCAGCTCACAATGAACAGTGTGAGGAAACATGTCAAAAGGAATAGCCATCACAGGGGCAAATGGCTCCCCTGCCAGCTTCTTCCGTGGGTCAGGGGGGCAGCACAGCCTGTGGAAAGCAAAGAGCATCCTTTAGACCAGCAGCAGAAGCCTTCCCACCACTGGTATCACAATCCAAGGGGCACCCACAAAGGAGGCATCATGTATTTGACAAACATTCCTCAGAATCTGCAGCTGACACTGGCTGAGGTGTGGAACCATCAATAGTAAATCCCCAACCAGCTCTGAACACCTCAGGGACAAGCTGAACAGTCAGCAGCAAGTCAGACACTCAGTTTTCAGTTTTGCACTGCCCTTATGACTGCCTGCAGACAGATTTATCACCTGGGTGTACCCCAGCTAAAGGCTGAGCAGATAAAGCTACATGATTAACCCCTAAGCAGGTGACAAATCCCCTTGGCTTCACCTTCTTGACAAAGGGTCACCCTTCCTGCAGTGAACCCCATGGACTCTGCATCTCACATCCAGATGTGCTTTTTTTTCCCTGAGGGATGCACAGTGTGCCATGTTTGAATTATTTTCTATTCCTCACTGATGCCTTGTCTGGGCTTAACGGGGTCTGTCACTGAGAGAGAGGAGGAGAGTGCTCACTCGAGGAAGTTCCTCATGGCTTCCCCCTCTGGCTTGCAGGAGATGTAGAGCAGCCTGCGGATGGCGCTGCAGTTCCGGATGGCTCGAACGACCCTGTAGTCTGCAAACACAAACAGCCTGCTTTCCTTCCATCACCCTGAGCTCTGCAGCAGGAATGACTGCACAGCACCACAGAACTGTCACAAATACAGATGCATATTTTGGCATGCTCTGTCTCAGATGAAGTCTCTCGGAGGCCACGGGTGTGACCCACACTGCTGACAGCTTAGCCAGGTTGGCAGGCAGGGCAGAGCAAGTCCCTCTGCTTCCCATGAGAGAAAAAGTGTTAATTAAGCAAAAGCATATAAAACTTCCACACACAATTGTGAGAGTGCATCTGGGCACCAGGACAGTGTGTGACTTCCCATACACACTCCAGGGGAGACCACTGAGACAGATTGAGGGCTGGGTTGTTCAGCCTGGGGAAAAGAAGGTAAGCAAGGATCCATTTACTATCTTCAGGAACCTCATGGGGCATAACAGATAACTGAGAATCTTCTCAAAGGGGCATGAGAAGCAATAGATGTATGGCAGCAAGGGAAAACTCTGATTAAATATATTAGGGAAAACATTTTCAGGAGAGGGGATACACCCTTGGAGAAATTCAAACCTCAGCTAGGCTTTATATCCCTATGCAACCTCATACAACTCTGAAGTTGGTCTTGCTATAGTTGGGAGATTACACCACAAACCTCCAGAGGTCCCTTGTCTCTTAAATAATTGTGTGAGCCTGTGAAAGATGGAAAAAGGATTAGAGCTAAAGAGAAAGCATGAAGGACCTGAAAACAGCAGACTTAGGGAATTTAGCTGCTGTCAGTAACAAGAAACAAGAGACTAAACAAGGGAAGGGTTTGGAGCCAGTATAAGAGGTCTCACAGAACTTGTTCAAAGCTCTCTGTTTACAAGATGAAAATAAATAGCATTTTCTCTCACGTAGGCCAGCCCGAGAAGGGTTCACCACAGCAACAAGCGGTCGGGCATCCTCCCACGATGCCAGGAGCTGTGGTAACACAGCCTCTGCCTTTCCACTGTGAAACTCACAGTTTGAGATCCCTGTGAAACAAAAAAGCAACCACATGAAGTGAGTCTCACCAAGAGTTGGGTATAACATGATATTCACATACCCTTTGCTGTGTGAAAGTAACTGGTTAGGGTCCCTCTGCTCACTTCTACTCTAGTTTTTCAGCATTTAGTTTGAAACTTTTTGCCACAGCAAGCTTGAACTCACCATTGAATGCTGCATTCCACTCAGCATCCTCTACTGCCTTCTCCACCACCTCGACACCAATAACCTTGGACACTCGGTGAGCCAGAGAGAGACCAATTGTGCCTGGAAACAGGGGAAACAAAAATACTCCACACATTCATGCCGAAGAAACAGGTGAGCATCAGCTGTGGAATGCAAAGCTCTGGGAGCCCAGGAGCCTACCTGTTCCACAGCAGATGTCAAGGAGAACAGTGTCCCCAGCAGCCTGGCAGAGCTCCCCAACTAACTGGAACAGAAGCTCTGCCCCAGCCGTGTTGACCTGGAAGAAGGCATCCGGAGAGATGCGGAACCTGAGGCCGAGCAGCTCCTCGCAGATGTGCGGTGCCCCGTGCAGGAGCTGGTACGGGGACTGCTCGTGGGAGCAGCGCGTCATGGTGCTGCCAGGGCACACAAAGAAAATCTGTGAGAAGGCAGCAGAGGGGAGCTGCTTTCCATTCCTATGGGCAGCAGGGGATGGTTCTTCCCCTCATCAACTTATGTCGCAGACATTTTTTCATAGAAATCCTTTCTTTGGGATTTGTTCATCTTCTGGGAAGCTGAGGCCCCAGAAAGAGAACATAAACAATGATTATCAGCTGCTGTGGAATGCAATAGGATGCACCTGTGATTGGTTCATGTTCCATGTGTACAATTAAGGGCCAATCACAGGAGCAAGCTCGGGGAAAGATTCTCTGGACACAGAACTTTGTTATTCATTCTTTTCTATGCTATTCTTAGCTTAGCAGCCTCTGCAACTTCTCTCCTTATTCTTTTTAGTATAGTAATAATGTATTATATATCATATATCAATAAATCCAGCCTTCTGATCATCAAACAAGATTCTCGTCCACTTCTCTCACCCATGAAGACCTTCATCAGATTGCTGTAATAAACTTATATTTCATGTGAGCCTTTCTACAAGATTAAAGCATTTTGATTCTTTGTAAGGAATCTGTGACTTGCACAGCCTAAATTTCATTAAAAGGATCAAAATTACTTAGAAGAAGGCAGCATTCCTCTGGTCTATTCCCCAGTTTTGCTGCTAATGTGATTTACTGTTTTGGGATAATCACTGGAAGTTTTTTCTTTAAGTTTCCCAGATGCATAATTCCCAGAGGTAGAGCCACAGTGTGTTCAAGTAAGTCTGGAAAAATAAAAGATGGGGCCATCTTAAAGCCACATCTTCAAGAGGGATGCAAACATCTGTCATTCTCTTCCAGCACTCCCTGAACTGGTGCAATTTGAATTTGGCCAGAAAGGGTAGAAGAAGGAGGTGGCTTTGTTTCCACTCATTCCCCCTGTCG